CTCTATGCTCGCACGTGTGTGTTCTCTTCATCCCCCCCCTAGTCGTGAGAGTCTTTTTCATTTTCGCTTCAAGGTGTTGTGTTGTGTTGTGTTAACTCTGTCTCCGCTCGCCACACATCCACACACATCCACACACATCTCGCACACATCCACACATTCCACACACATCCGCACATATCCTCCCCTATCTCATGTTTTGTGTACAGTCATGCTTGCGGAATGGGAGAAGCTGCCTATGCCTGAGGGCGTGCTGGAACTCAAGTCGAAGAGGCTGCAGGTTGACCTGGGCGAGCTGGTCCAAGACGTTTAGTAGTCTCGAGTGTGCTGTGTGTGTGTGTGGGTGGTGTGTGTGTGTGTGTGTGTGTGTGTGTGTGTGTGTGTATGTGTCTGTGTGCTGTATGTTCGTCGCTGTGTGTCGGTGTCTGTGTCTGTGTATGTCGGTGTCTGTGTACTGTATGTTCGTCGCTGTGTGTCTGTGTGTGTGTGTGTGTCAATCTGTCCGTCTGTCCGTCGCTCTGTGTGTATATGATTGTCTGTCTGTCCGTTGTCCTCTCTGGCTCCCTCTTTGCCGCTCTGTTTTGTCGTGTTGACCACGGATGTCTTGCGACGTGTGAGCTGTCTGTTGCTGTGCCCCTTTGCCTCCTTGCCTTCCTTGCCGTTTATGTATGTGAGCCATGTGCTGCCACAGGCTCTTGCTTCCGTCCATGGTGTGTGTGTGTGTGTGTGTGTGTGTGTGTGTGTGTGTAAGTATGCGTGTTGTGTGCGTGTGCTCTCCTTCTGCCTTTTGCCTTGTTCCTTCGTGTTGCTCTGTCCTCCGTCTTCCTGCAGACCATGCTGACTGACAGCACAACAAGTATTGACGCGCGCTTTCTTCACGTCCTTCGCGTCCTTCGCTTCTGGCAACAAAACAATACATACAAAACACATGGCAGCTTCCTGTCTTACTTCACCTCCTTCGTGCCTTGCATGTACGCTGAAGTAACACATGACATGACTACTACAGGCATGCATGCGTGGAGGCATCATCACATCATGCATCGCCCGTCCTCGCACCTCATGCCAACGAATGAATGAATGGATGGAAAGGGAGACAAGAGGAGGACGCAGACAAACGCCAGCACACAAACGCGCACTCACAGCCAGAAACAGCCAACAACCGTGCGTGCGTGTGGTGCATACCAAAACTACCCAAATTGTGCTGTTGCATGGATGCAGTGAGCTGCGAGTAAGATTTTTGCTGGATGATTTGCACTGATTGTATGCATGCAAGCAATCACGCCACTGATCCGCTCAATGACACACATCGCAACACACCCTGACCAATCACGCAACAGCGTTTGGTCCGGATACGAGGCAGTGTTGCGAACACAAGGGTGGCGTTCGCGTGGCGTTGTGGTACCGTTCGTTGAAAAAACTTGTGCAGCGTTTGCATTGGTCAGGGCCCGAAGCCGTTGCAGCCACACCACCACACAACAATGCATACCGCCGCTGCGCTGCACAACAGCACCGCCGACCTTGGCATCTGCTCGCCAACGTGCGCCTTCTCCACGCACAGCAAAATAACAGTCAACAAAGTGCCATCCCAACCAAGCTCCCCAAAGAAGCGAGCCAGCCTCTGTTAACAGGCACAACGTTCTTCTTCTTCTTCCTTCTTCTGATGTTTTGCACGCACGCTTACACGAGCGCTGCAACGGCAAACCACACATTCACTCGCACATGCACAGCGACCACAACGGACAAACCACACACACGCAAACAATCAAATCACTTGCTTGCCTCCCTTCCCTCATCAGTCGCTCGTTGGTCAGCCAGCCAGCCACAGGGCAACCAATTCTCTCTCAACGGAAGCCCCATTTTCTTTCCACCACACGCACACACACGCTCCCCTCCCCCGTCACTATCACCACCACACACCACCACACACACAACAACAACAACCCGCCAGCACCCATCATCAATCAATCAAATCATCCACCGAGTGCGCGTGTGTGTGGCCACCGAGCAATAACCGCCTCCACACTTTCCTTCTCTTCCCGCATCGCCAACCAACCAACCAACCACAAGAAGAACCCACCACGTCCCTCACCAGCACAGCTTCCACAATGGCAAAGATGCTTGCTATCCTCGTCGCTGCTGTTGCAGCGCTCGTCACCATTGCCCCTGCCGCCAACGCGAACTGCCTTCACAGGTGTGTACCCTCGTGTGTGTGTATGTGTGTGTGTGTGTGCTCATGGCGAGCGGAAGAGAGAGAGAGAGAGAGGGAGAGGGAGAGGGAGAGCGAGTGGCACCAACACACTCGCGAGTTGCTGAGGTGGTCGTGGTGATGATGCTCTGATGGCGATAGGATGATTGTGGCTGTGGTTGCTGTTACTACACGCCACACATGACAACACAAGACAACACACACACACCCCTTCTGTGTGCCTCCCTTCACTCACTCATGCGCCCGCACTTTTTACTTTGCATGCATCCGCAGCCTCAACCTGACCGAGGTGACCTA